CCTGTCTCTCCCTATCTCTCCCTGTCTCTCCCTATCTCTCCCTGTCTCTCCCTGTCTCTCCCTGTCTCTCCCTGTCTCTCCTTGTCTCTCCTTGTCTCTCCCTATCTCTCTCTGTCTCTTCCTGCCTCTCCTGTCTCTCCCTGTCCCTCCCCGTCTCTCCCCGTCTCTCCCCGTCTCTCCCCGTCTCTCCCTGTCTCTCCCTGTCTCTCCCTGTCTCTCCCTGTCTCTCCCTATCTCTCTCTGTCTCTTCCTGCCTCTTCTGTCTCTCCCTGTCCCTCCCTGTCTCTCCCCGTCTCTCCCCGTCTCTCCCTGTCTCTCCCCATAATTATTAATTAATTAAAGTATATTTTAATTTAATTTTAATTTTATTTTTATTTTATTTTTATTTTACATTTTTTATTGTTTTTTATTAGCTATATGGCGCGCGCGTAGCGCGCACATATATTGTTCTAGTATTCTAAAGAATATCTTACGAATATTCTAAGTACCTTTACAGCATATTACCCTACATAGCACGTAATATTACACAATATCACAGTAATGTTGCAATATCTCAGTAATATTACATAATTTCACTTAGTGAAAAATGAAGTATTATTTTGTCTAAATAACAAAAAAAAACTGGCATTTCATATTTTGTGTCGTTTATTTATTCGTGAGATTCACATGTATTCGATTCCGTGTCAGACGGTCACCCATCTTTAGATGATTATGCTGTTCAAATGCTTAATCTTAACGATCGTACGGGAACTGCTGATGCCAATGCGCAGTAACAATATTTGGTGGATTGTATTTATTAATATAATATACTTCTCAAACGTTCAAAAACGTAATGACATATTTATCGGTAAATGTTTCAAAGAATGTATCAACAATCACAATGCGACTAATATTGATACAATGTTGTATAAGTAATCAAATTTTAACATACGTGCTCACAAAAGGAAGAGAATATTCCTTCTTTCTCGCGATATTTTGACAAAGTAATTACTCTATAATTGAGTTCTCAATTGAAATCTCAGCTGGATTTTTTCAGTAGGATAGGTAGAACACAAAGTCATATAAAAATGGAAATGACGTCAAATGATATAAAAGTGATATCATTTTGACGTCAAATGATAACATTTTCATTACAATTTCATGACATTGGTGTCAAAATGATTATCCACTCAACATCAAAATAATTTTGTGTTGTACCTGGGATGCTCATTAAAATGTGTAAGCTTGTAACCTACCCATAACCTTACTACAAAGTTTAGTAATGTGAAGGTTTATTAAAATGTTATTAGAATATATTCTGAGAATTTACCAAATAATATTCTAATAATATTCATAACGTTCTTAAAACAATACAAGAATATTATTTCCAAATATTTTCTGAATGCGTAGAAATCATCTTGTTAGAATATTCTTCGAATATTCTGTGCTGATAGAATATTCTAAGAACATAACAAATAATATTCCAATAATATTCAGAACATTCTTGAAACCATTTAAGAATATTCTTTCCAAATATTCTCAGAATATATAGAAGTCATCTTATTAAAATATTATCAGAATATTTTGTGCTGTCCGGGAAAGGGCACTATCTGCCCCACCATTCATTTTATTGGAATTAGTTTATTTATAATAATACGAATAATACCGGAAACCAAATACATCGGTACGAATCTCGGCTTAATAATTTAGCGGGAAATCGATACATTATAGTTCGAGACTTGGTTTAATAATTTCATTTGTTGTCTTTAATTTATCGAAATTTAATTTGTCGTCTTGTCAACATCAAACACGTATGCATAAGAAAATATCTCCGAGAAAATATTATGTCGTAATACGACATAACAAGTTATAAAGTATGTTAATCAAACAGTATACTATACAGTATCCGCTAAAAGTTCCGAGCTATCTAAATAACTTTTGAACGACTCGAGGTAGAGATCTAAAATTTATAGGGATATAATAAGATCATAAAGTCTATCATTTAACCACAGAAACACCAAATTCCATACCCCCGGGGGTGAGGGGGAGAGGGAGGCCGGAAAATCTTAAATGGCATGTGGGATCAAGTGAGAACTCGTTTGAAAGGGCTTTTCGAGACGAGAACAACGCGGGATCACTGAAGTCTCTACAATTTTTTTTGGCAAAGTTATGATCATTTAAACATTTATATTGAGATTTTGCGATAGCCCAAGGCCCTGAATGGATAGAAGTGCATATGGGAGTGTGTGCGTGCGTGTCTGGACACGCCTTCGGTCTTGCTTAGTTGACCGGACACGCACGCAGGCACACACTCCCCCCACACACACACTTCCACATGCACTTCCATTCAGGAACACGCGTTCCTGCGCGAAGCCTTATCTTCTTCATGTCATCGCAAAAAACCCTCGCTATCGCAAAATCTCAATATAAATGTTTAAATGATCATAACTTTGAGAAAAAAATCATACAGACCTCGGTGATCCTGTGTTGTTCTCGTCTCGGAAAGCCTTTTCAAACAAGTCCTAACTCGATTCCACATACCATTTAAGATTTTCCGACCTCCCTCTCCCCCTCACCCCCGGGGGTATGGAATTTGGTGTTTTTGTGATTAAATAATAGACTTTATGATTCCATTGTATTCCTATAAATTTCAGACCTCTACCTTGAGCCGTTCAAAAGTTATTTAGGTAATCCGGAACTTTTAGCGAGCACTATATAGAGCATATATAGGGTACATATAGAATATATATAGAGCATAAAAAAGCATATATAAAAGCATAAAAAAGCATATACAGAGCATATAAATATGACATGTTGAAATATATCAATTTAATGTATCATTAAAAAACAATCCGACGAGAGGGAAGCCTGCCGAGTTGAAATTTCAATTGGCCATTCTTATGCAAGAATGATCCAATTCAAAAAATTATAAGCTTTTATCAATGGATACTCTATTCACATCTTTTTAAACCAAACAGAAAAATTCAAGCCTAGATGCTTGAAGAATTTTTTTTATTTTTTACCAGTCGCGTCTTTTTGCACATTTTGCTAAGGACTGAGCTAGTCAGTACTCTTAAAGGAATGGAAATGCTTGACTCGTAGAACTATTGCGAAAATCTCAGAGAAAAATTCTTTGGCTGGATCATGCTTACGTAAATCCGGCGAATTGCAAATTCCAATTCTTACTTTACTTCCCGTCGGACTCAATGCGATTTATGTCTACGTGCATGCAATCTACGTAAAGTGACGCTTTGTGTCTACCATATGAGCGTCTAAATTGAGCACTCACCATTGCGCGTCGTCCCACGGTGTCCAGGGTCCACCAGTCTTCCTGTCGCTGCATCTGACACTGCAATGGTCCTTGCGTCCCACGTCGCCTGTTCACTCCCGACCGCGGTAATCTAACGGAGGTGTCACGAAAAATCCCGTCTCTCTTGGAGGATACACTCCGAGTCGCGAATTGCGTATGAAATATTGCGAACTGCGTCTTCGAGGAAATGTCGGCCTTTTGAATAAACGACGAGTATGTGCGACGAATTTAGCAACGGTCCGATCGAATTGTAGTGTATCGCATTGACACACGCGCGACGCGAACGAAAAAAATGGAATTCGCGAGCGAAGGGAACACGCGACGCAAATCGAAGGCCGATCTCGCGAAATCTTTCGACGCGTGGGCAAAGTAATCTGTGCGAGATTCTCACGTACGACACAAAATATCCCTTATGTAACGTTTCGATGGTGCAACGTAGTAGGCTGCAATACAACTCCGCAATATTTTTGCGGATAACAGCTCCACAATAGTTTTGTGAAGACAATTCCGTAATATTTTTGCGGATAACAGTTCCGCAATACTTTTGCGAAGACAATTCCGCAATGCTTTTGCGGATAACAACTTCGCAATATTTCTGCAAAGTTCGCTCGCGACTCTTCCGCAAATATGATCCGGTGAAGTTCGCAAACCTATCAAATTAATAATCGCAAACGCGAATGTGAATAAAAAATAAGAAACTATGAAAATTGTACCGATAAAGATAAAGATTCTGTTCAAAATTCAAGCGAAAAAAATGTTACCGCATGAAACATCTGTCTTCGTTCGATGGAACTTGTCGCGCGCCGCGTAAGTAAACAAAGAAATGCTCGCATGTCTGACTTGTGTACATCACGTTTTTCGCGAGGAATCCACGCTCACTAACATTGTTTCTATTGTGTCCCGCGTTAGTAAACTCTAACTCTAAGTGAAAAATTAAAACCTGAAAATTTTCCAACGATCGTGAAATTAATTTTGCGAGCAGTTATAATCACGTTAGATCGCTTCGCGCAGGTGCCGCACGATATCGAATCTTGCTTAAGAACGAAGCACGAATTCTACTTTATAAAATGCAATCACGATTCAAGCTGATACGAGAGAGAAAATTGAGAAAATTAACGACCGGCGGAAGATCTATGACGAGGGTGATGTGATTGCGTATTTTCTGTGACACAATCCCATTGCGTGTTGGCGCAATCTCTTTGCGCGTTGGCACACTGCTCGAAACACATGGAAGATTGCATTCAATAAAACTAAATAATTTTATAAAATTTGGAGTGTCCGGAGTGTTCAATACTTTAAGCATCTACTAAGTAGTGTTGGGGTTTGATCAATCAAAATTTTCTCCGACAAAAATCGTCGACCCATCAATAATCTAAGTTAACCAATTTCTAAATACTATGACTAAATACTAATACAATTTCTACATACATTGAGAAAAAAATATAAAAATTTATTTGTCAAATTTATGTAAAATATGCATTATCACTAATATTATTTGAAAAAATAATCACTAATATTGTTTGAAAAAATAATCACTAATATTGTTTGAAAAAACAATCTTCCAATTGTTTCGAGTAGTAATTTTTTTATTGGACGGCACGTACACATACTATAACTACAGCAAAGTAAATCGCATTGATTTAATAAGCATGCACTGCATCGAAAGACTTTTTGTCTTTCTATTATTAATATGTTTTTTTGTTTTGACTCACCAAACCGCCGATCAGGATAGCCACATTCTGCTTTCCTTTCTGGAACAGAAAAATGCCATTTCGCTCATTAGATTCGTGTATTGATGACGATTTGAGTGAAGAAATTTAAAGGATTAAAAAAAATAAACGCGATATTTTTCACGCTGGAAGAATTTTTCGGAATGCATTCACACTTTAGAATATTTCATTTTCTTTTTTTTCGACGTTGCAAATAAATCTCAATCAGAACAAATCAAAATTTTTCAAGTGGTAATGTTACTTAGAAAAAATTCCCCCGCGTGTAATTACGATTTAACGCAATCTTTGTTTCGATTCAAATTATCTCAATATCGAACAAGAGAATTATCTTGTTGAATCTTTATTATTAATCTTGTCAAATTTTTAATTATAAATGCTATTTAATGAAGCTCACCTTCGAGCTAACCCCGCTCGGCCCGAGCCAAATCCTCTGGCGCAGCAGCTCCTAAGAGTTGGCTGGTTCGTCTCTGCAACAGAAAGCAGATTTAATTTAGTGCTACACATGACAATGGAGACAGTAAGGAACTCGATTCCAAACAAGAAAATTTTCAGTTTTGTCGGATTTCTAATTATAAGTATAAATTAGTGAAGCTATGTAATGAAGCTCACTTTCGACTCAGAAAGGCTCGAGGCCTCCAGCGCGGCATATCCCAGGCATCACATCCCCTAGAGCTGCGTGACTGCGTCTGCTCTATTGGATCTCTGTGACAGAAATTTAATTTAATTTAATAATTTAGTACCAATTAATTACACACGACAGCAAGACGAAGTAAGGAAATCGTAACAGCATACTCGAGTTGCTTTCCAATACGCAATAAAAATTATAAAATGACAACGGAATAAAAAAATAATAATACTCGAATAATAAATAGATAATAATATTTGATCGGCATTGAGGAACTCGATCGCGACGTTTCTCTATCTAGCAAATAAAAGAATAAATGAAACGCGGTAATTACCTGTCATGGTAAAGTCCGCAACATCTGTTCGCGTGAAGAGTACGCGTCTTAATTTGCCTCAATTGTCGCGAAGTCGAAACGCAGTATTAAAAATTGGCACAGAATAATCTAGAAAATAACGCGGCAGCTCTCGATGTGCTCGTCTCAACGGTTGAAAGTGTTATGGCGTGACGCTTGAGCACGTGCTCGCGCATGCTTGTTGACATGACCCGGTCGCGCGTTCCCCTAAGCGCCGCTCAATCAGCGGCACGAGCGGGCCGTTACGACGGTTCGTTTACCTAGCCTTTGTGGAGCTCAGAGTTTTTGTTAAAGCCGTTGCCCAAGTATTGTTATTGCCGATTATTCGATCATCATTATTTCGTTATTATACACTCGCGGATATTATATCATTATCGAACAGATATTATTATCACTACCATTTAATATTCGAGTATTATTACTTGTTTATTCAATTATTATTCAATTTATTCGAATATTATTTAATTTATTCAGTTACTATTTAATTATTGCTATTACGTATAGGAAAGTAACTTGGACGTGCCGTTACGACAATTTCTTTACCTCATCTTTAATCAGTTATTATTATCGTTGCCCAGTTATTGTTATTCATTGTTATTACCGATTATTTGATCATCGCTTTTCAGTTATTATCCGCTCGCGGCTATTATCACACGATTGTCGATTAGGTATTATTATCACTATCATTTATTATTCGAATATTGTTAGAACAATTATAATAATATACAATTATAATAATAACAATTATAATAATAATTTTTTAGAACAATTATAATAATATCTGCTCGACAATCATGTGATAATAGCCGCGAGTGGATAATAATTGAATAACAATGATCGAATATTCGGTTATAACAATGAGTAACAATAACTGAGTAACGGCAATAATAACTGATTAAAGACGAGGTAAAGAAATTCTTGTAACGGTACGCCCGTTGCTTCCTTATGCGTAATAATTAAATAATAACAATAATTAGGTAGTAGCAATAATTAAATAATAACCGAATAAATTAAATAATAATCGAATAAAGAAATAATAATTGAATATTAAATGATAGTAATAATAATATCTATTCGAAAATCATGTGATAATATCCGCGAGTGGATAATAAAATAATGATGATCGAATAATCGGTAATAACAATACCTGGGCAACGGCTCTAACAAAAACTCTAGGTTCCAAACAAAGGCTAAGTAAACGTACCGTCATAACGGCTCGTTCGTGTCGTTGACTGAATACCGCTTGGGAGAGCGCGCGGCCGGGTCATGTAAACATGCGTCCCCAAGCACGTGCTCGATCGTCACGCCATAGATTCTCAACCGTTAAGACGAGCACATCGGGAGCTGCCGATGATCTAGTTTTGCGATAATATCGCCGCTAGCTCGCTTCGTGCCTATGTCGCGCGGTTCGCTCATCAATGGTGAGACAAGAATAAAGCGATTGGACGTCTGTACTTTTTTAACTTACTATTATTGTACGGAAGTACAAAGGTGACTAGACGTGCCGATTTTTCACCCTTTGTCCCGAATTTTTTCGAGTGCTATTCGGGACACTGATTTGTAATCATTTTCAATGATTGTCAAATAATTTTCGGATCTTTTTACCCTCCTCTTCCCGCCCCCGCTTCACACATTTCCGAATTCAGGACTGGGAAATCTTACATATACCGCGAGGAGAAACGAAAAGATTACCTATAAATGACGTCTTCACGATACGTCCCGGCGATCGTATATCGCTATTCTCGATATTTATTTCCGCGCGAGACTTACTTTTGACGATTAAAGATGCGTAAAATGCAGAGCGATGTCGATCGATGTGTCCATGGCGGTTGCTTGATGCAGAAAGATCGAGAATCAAGATGATCGCGCGATTGTTAAATCGCGCTGAAAATATACGCCAATATGTGAACAGTGCCGCGGCCGAAAAGAACACGCTCTATGAAATACTTCTCTTTCCATATCTCTTTTCCTAACAAGCTGACGCAACCGCCCGAATATTCCGCATCTCTCTCTCTCTCTCTCTTTCTTTCTGATTGTCATCGCATTTCTAATTCCCGTTCAATAAATCCGACGATCGCCCGATTCTATTGCTACTTGAGCGAATGTTATTAGGAAATGTAAGTGACGTCGAGGCGACACATCGCGACAAGCACCGGCCGCATATACCGCGAGGAGAAACGAGAAGATTACTTACAAATGACATCTTCACGATATGCTCCGGCGATCACACATCGCTATTCTCGACACTCCCGAGATTTATTAACACGCAAGACTCATTTTCGACGGATAAAAGACGCGAGAAACACGGAGCGATGTGAATCGATGTGTGCCCATGGCTGCTGCTTGGCGCGAAAAGATCGAGCATTTCGTGCGATTCATTACCAACGTCTAGATTGAATAACCACAATGACAACTTCGTAGTGCGAAACGAACGCGGTTGGTCTAGAATAGTTTCAATGATTATCAAATAATTTTCGGATCTTTTTATCCCCCTGATCCCGCTTCATACATTTATGAAGGTCCCGAATTCAAAGCTAGGGCCGGTATTGTCGAATCTTATTTCAAGATCGTCTTAAGTAATGTCTTAAGATGCGAATATGGTTCTGTGATTGGTTCATGACATCTTAAGACAGTTCTTAAGATGATCTTAAATATAAGATTGGACTATGAATACCGACCTAGGAAATCTGGTCACCTTAGTACAACGGGCACGAACCAGGCGTATTTTATCGTTACCACCGCGAAAATGCGCCTAACGAACGTAGTAAAGGCGCACTTTGTTAGATGGCGTCCCGAAAATGCGCCTAGCTCCGGTCATTAAAATCAATATTTTTAACAAAACTACATATAATTACCATCTACTGATTTTACACATTTTTACCGGCAGAAGGTTATTAAATGGCGAAATTTTCTGGCACGCAAAATCCCGTGAGATCACTGGATCTTTCATATTCATTACGTCAGTGACTAGAGAACACAGAAAATCAAACTATGTGGAATTTGTATACCGGTTTCTCGATACCTGCATAAATGGGCACGGAGCTTCAAGTTAAAAGGATGCAGCTCTCCTAATACGTCATAGCGCTGCGTTGGTGGATCGTCATCGGACGAGGGAGGGAGAAAGACAGATAGAGAGAAAGAGAGAAAGATAGATAGAGAGAAAGAGAGAAAGAGAGAAAGAAAGAAGTGGGAGAAAGAGTAGAGAGCGTTTCGAAAGCACTTGTCAACGAGATACGTCTTGTCAGGAATAATGCCGCAGTGAGCCGCCAGTTTTCGTCTTACAACCGTCTATACCGCGTACACTACCAACCGCAACTTTGCCTATCGCAAAAACGATAACGTGGTCCTTTAAACACGCTCGCTGACTGCACGCTTATCACATTACTCTTGTTTCTTATCGCTACACGCGGCGTTACATTACGCTCGCGGTGGTCAGTAGCGTACGCATCGTACAGCGTCATCGAAAATCTGAGAATTTCGATATCCGTCCTGTCTGATTCCGTCCGATGCGGAGATCGACTCGAAGATCCTGGTGTTTACAAGATGTCACGAAGCAACGTGCTCAAACTACGCGACGGACAGTAGATGCTGCCGAACGAACATCGTTCTAAGGACAAAGCGGTTATTCACCTCGACAATCAAGCAGAAGTCACCTGTTGTTTTGTTGCCTCTTCGTTTAGCATAGGTTCGAATTTGACAATACACTGTCGCTAATCTCCAGCTGTTGAATGTGTGTACAATTATGTATATGCATATATATATATATACTGTCACACTGTTAAAGAATTGCCAGTATAATAATGCAAGCAACAAATTTTTACTAACGTTACAATTTACGAACTCTGATACTGTGTATGTACAATGTACTAAAAGTGATTTTTTTACTTGGTTCTAGATGTCACACTGCAGTAAGAATACTGACCAGAAGACTGCGGTGATTGATCATGAAAGGCAGTTTCAGGAAGACTTAGAGCGAGCTCAGGCACTCAGTTTGGAAAGTTTGGCTCTAGAGAAATTCAGATTGCAAAAGTTGCAATCCAACGTGCAGCAATTGTGCTTTGGACAAAATGTGTGCAATACAAATAGTGCAGTATCGGAGACAGATGGATGTTTGCAGGGAGAGAGGTAAATGCTTTATATTTAATGTTTAGTCTTATTCTTATTTCGACGTGTGTGTAATTATATGACGAATAAATCAGTATTAATATATCCAATTTATTCAATATATAACATGTTTTATTTGGGCAAGAGAATAAATGATTGTAGAAAAATAATTAAGTAAAATTTTATTTTGTGATGTTTGCAGATCTCAATGCAGAAGTCGACCAAGACCTGGATCTTTCAACACAAATCAAAAGAATACTGTAATATTGGCACCACCACCCCCAATACCATGTAGAAGAAATTCAACGACTACTGCAGCCAGTCAAGATTCTTCCACTGACTTGATCAACTTTACAAGTCCTGTGAAGCAGGACAATCTAGCCGAATATTGCTCGACACCACCTCCACCACCACCGTAATATATTTTTACTACTATATTTACTTATGGCAAAACAATATTCCATAAAACATGCTTGTGCATTAGTATATTGTATATTACACACACATACACACACATATATATACACTACTTTAATCTCTAATATCAATTATTTTACACTTTTTCTAGAAAAGCACCAGTTGAGCCTAAATGGGATACTCATCCATCTTTATTAAAGAGACAATCAAGAGTATCACGAAGTAATAGCTCAGTTGGCGCATATCATTCCAGAGATTTCAGATATCATTCTCTTTCTCCAGGCCCGCGATCTTCCACGGCACCATGTACACCAGGAACTCCAGGAATTAGTCCAATCATGTCAAGAGCTAGTAGCGTTAGCAACAATGTACCTGATATTGCACCACAGGTAATAGATATTTCTGTAAGATCTAAAATTTGTTGTTGAGCAAACATTCCTAAACCAGATCTTTTCTTTTTCTTTTTTCATTTTCATTTGGGCGGTAAAATTTATCTGATTTTGTAATAGAATATAAAGCAGTTGGTTAAAACGCAGTTTTTCTTGCAGCCCGCATGGAAATCTATTACATTTAAACATTTTTTCTTCAGACAGGTATTATTATATCTGAAAATATGGAACAGCTCACTTCTTTTCTTTTTAATAATGGCTTTAAAAACCAGTAGTGCTATTAGAAAATCAAATTATATCATAAATGACCATATGAAGTGAGCGCTTCTTTTTTACATGATTAGTATAATTTATATTATTTATAAGTTATTTTAATATTATATATAACCTTAGTTATCTTAATTTATATATATATATATATATATATATATATATATATATATATATATAATGTCTACACACAAAAATAATATCGATCAAATAGGTTCACGTTTTACTTCTTTTCCAGCAAAGTGCAAAGGTATTTTCTTTATATTGTTATTGCTGCTTGTTCTTCGAGCGAAGAATGTTCATCAATGCACGATGAATGAAACGAAAAAAATGCTGTCTTGAAAGTTGCATTTATTTTTTTTCTAGATTCCTCCATTGCCTATGAATTATAGACCAACTGTTGCGCCTGCCATATGTGCACCGTCAATATCAGCATTCTGTATGGACGACGAACAGTTGAACGTACTGAAAGTGATAGAGAAAAAACCAAATAGCAATCTTATAGATTTGAGTAGTTTTGAGCAAACGGAAGACAAGACGAATGTACGAGTTAGCGTACTGGAAGCGTTTGATCCATTACTCATAAAGACTGACAATAGAAGTGATTCTATGCAAAACCATAAAGACGGTGAGTTATCAAATATATGTATTTTATAGCTCTTAATGAATTATTAATGTATAAAAATTAATGCATATGAAATGGCAAAATTTAAAATGTAATACGGCTAAAATATTATCTATGCAAAATATACATGCATAGGTAAATGTTGTTACTCTATCATTATCATAGATAAATTTTTGCAGATTCGCAATCGCAAGTTAGTGGCACTGTATACGATCCGTTCGATCCATTTGATTACATGTATAGCACAAACGAAAGCGCCAATTCAGATCCAGTTTATGCTGCTGTAGAGAAATCCGCGAAATCGCCGGCTATATCGCCAGCTGCACCACCACCATTACCTCCTCGGAATTCGTCTGCATGGAATACTATAGAGAGACGAAAAACTTCTTTAGATCGTCGAGTAAGTTTCGGAAAAGTTCGTCTATTCTTTCTTTTTTTTTTTTTTTTAGGCAAAATCATTTGCGTCTCAACATTATTTCTAGCAAAAACGTCAAACACGTTTGTATGAGAATGTAACGGTCATAAAGACCAGATCATCTCTTCATGATTGTGACTTAAAGGCGTTCCACAAAATGATCAAGTCTGTACGAGGTTAGTGGAAAATAATATATATTTTGTTACACATTACACATCTCACCGGGATTCCTCGTCGCTCACGATATAAAATCATTGAAGGCGAGTTCCCGTTTAATAATCCCACTACAAATATTGGATACGTTGTGAGTCCAATGATGGAGAACTTATATCCAGATGGTACAAGTATAAAATTGGTAGTTCATCCACAATTGGTTAGTAGCGATAAAGATCCAGTACCATCTATTTCTTTTACTTGTAATGGTAAGTTAATAAAATTTATTTGAAAGGCACGAAATTACCTTAATGTGATTTATGTTGTATCATTATAAATATTCTATTTCAGTGAATTGTAGCGTCGAACACGTTATCCTGAACGTCGCTTGTTCTTTGGAAGATGAGGATACAGTAAATGTAGAAAAATATTGTTTAAGAGTGTGGGGATTAGCTGAATACCTTGCCCCTAATACAACTTTAGCACAATACGAATATATACATCAGTGTATTAAATTAGAAAAGGATATTGAATTAGCTATAATGAGCAGGTCACAAATTAAGCAATCTATTGCTCGAACGGTCGGTATTATGCATATGTAGATATAAACGTTCTGCTTATTTTAACACTCACGCTGTTTTCTTCTATTTTAGTTACAAGATGATAATCGCGATCAGTGTCTAAAGTTGGAAGATATTCTACCAAACGAACCTTCCCAACCTATTTCATACGATACACTACTTATTTTACTAGGTACATTTACGCACATACATGTATGTGTAAAAAAATACTTTGTTTTTTCTATGTTGACATTGCTATGTTATTCTTTTGTGTTTACAGAAACAGTAGAGAAAGAGATGGAACGCGTAGAGACCGCAGCCATACAATTGGCTACCACAAATCAAGGTTCTAACTTACTACCTCAACTTCAACCACGTGGCGTCGTGCAAACGGTAAAAGCGGTGTGTGCCTTAATGGGAAGCATCGAGACGTTTGAGATCACGGAGGCAGTTGACAATTTCGTGAATGCCTGTTGCCAGTTTCTGCCGCAAGCCCACACAGCTAATATAGACTGCAAGAAACCAGAGATCTTACATGAGGACGGTGATTACGCTGTGGTTACTTTGAGAAAGAAATTTCCCGACGTGATCACCTCTCATTGTCTTAAAATCCGTGACGCCATTCAAGAGCTCGTCGAAACTTACTGTCACGCGTTTAGGGTCGACTTTCAGTTAAACAGCAAAGGAGAATTCCCGACAAGTAAGAAGAAGATTAACTCTTTCATATATACAGGGTATCTCACACTCTCCTCCGGGCATTTTGTGGAAACGTAGAACAGGTTGCGGTGAACATAAAAGTTCTATACCGTTTTGCGATATTCGCAATAATTATCGAGATATTAATTTGTGAATGATCATGCAGGATGGTAAATGAGTTATAATAGTGACGACTGCCGTCGTGTACTTATATTTTAGGTCAAATTGAACAAAAAAGTCCACTACTATTTTGCAAATAATCACATAGATTTTTAATTATTAATTAAAGAAGATGAGTGCATTATAACGCAAAATCGTGCAGTAATCTTCTTTAATTAATAATTAAAAATCTATGTGATTATTTGCAAAATGGTAGAGGACTTTTATATTCAATTTGACCTAAAGTATAAATACATGACGGCAGTCGTCGCTACTATAACTCATTTACCATATTCTGCATGATCATTTACAAGTTTTCTACAATTAATATCTCGATAATTATTGCGAATATTGCAAAACGGTATAGGACTTTTATGTTCACCTCAACCTGTTCTACGTTCCTACAAAATGCCCGGAGGAGAGTATGAGACACCCTGTATACACGTAAAATATAAAATTGACATTGTTATACGTTTTTGTTTAACAGATACGCTAGTTTCGTCAGAAGTGATCGACACTATTTTAGTGCGTGTTGGAGCACTGCATAGACTACCGAATTCATGGAAACACGACGACTACATAGTGGCAGCTCAAATCTTTCATGGAACTAGGCCAGTAGGAAATCCCGTTTTATCGGAGCCAATGACGGTCAGCTCAAACTTTTATCCGAGAATTTTATTTAATACGTGGTAAGTATTAGGATGCATTCGCAGCGTTTTTCCAATGTATATCAGATTCAATCAAAATTATTTTATTCGAGGTTGGAATTTCGCGGTATAAGTGTGTGTCAAGTGCCGAGAGAAGCCAGACTCGTACTAGTTCTTTACGGCCGCACTTTGCAACCTGCTGAGCATGAGTCAAACTCCTCTGCGGAGAATTCAATGCAGAAAGAGGAACTTGGGTGGAGCGCTATACAGTTCTTCGATTACGACGGGTAAGTGATATGTGATATAAATAATTCTTTAAATCTCTGATCGTTCTTCATTCAGCTTTTTATCCTCAACGAGATCGCGTTATTATCTGGTATGTTTCCTTGCGTCATATACGTGCTTTTAAATCTTTTCATTTTGTTTGTAGCGTTATAAGCCAAGGAAGCTTTTTTCTATCTCTTTGGCCAGCCATTGCAGACAAAAGATTAGGTCCGGCGCCGGCGCCTGGAATTCATCCGCATGGCGACACTCACCCCATCATAGGATTAGAATTACCCGATTACGGAGGAAAGGTATTGTTCCCTACTGAATTGAGAGATCACGATGTAGAATCGCTCGATTTCAATTCGTTAGATCAGAATACACAAGAGCTACTGATAGACATCACGCAACAGGATACGTTTTCGAGGTACGCTTTAATGATGCAATAGTAACAAATAAAGTGCTCGATGTTTATGAGATTTTTTTTATTTTCTAGACCACCTATTGACGAAAGAGAAATTTTATGGGAAAAAAGACACTATCTACACAACAGACCCGAAGCTCTACCCAAAGTATTATTAGCTGCACATAGTTGGGACTGGGCGTGCTTACCAGATTTACACGCGTCACTCAGAGTTTGGAGTCCATTACCTCCAGTGCAAGCCTTACAGTTACTTTTACCGTGGTACATTTTCATAAAAATTACTCCTTCAGTGTTATTTTTTTCGGAGAACGATTAGAATATCGCAATGTTTGTTTTTTTTACAGTTTTCCAGATATGAAAGTCAGAGAAATGGCAGTTGGATGGATTCGCGAGCTCAGCAACGATGAATTAGTCGATTATTTGCCGCAATTGCTTCAAGCGATGAAACACGAGACATACGAGGCTTCACCCTTGACACGATTTTTATTAGAGCGTGCCTTACTTTCACCGCGAGTGGCTCACCATATTTACTGGCTGTTAACTCAAGCGCTACCGGGACAAAGTCCCCAGGTACAGGTTGGAAGATCAACATTATTAACATTATTAATCGCTTTGTATTTTGAATGCTTGAATTGTAACAATTTTGAATACTAAAATCGTAATGAGACATCAACAATCTAAATCATACATACTATTCATGTTTTTCATAATCATCTAATGGTAATGGGGCAATCATACGATGTGCATTATTAACACAGAAATTACCTAATACCAAATACATTAAAGCGAAGCTCTTTTTTTGTTCTTTAGAATTCTGCTGAGATTGCCGCGGAAGATGACAAAGCTATCAGTTATGCTCGTTATCACCGGAGATTACAGTTAATGTTAAGAGCATTATTGGCAGTTATTGGAGATGCACTGAGAAATAGTTTCCTTACTCAACAATTACTAGTTAAAGTATATTTCAGTTTTATATTTTACATACACACACACATATATGTAATGTGTGTGTGTTTGAAAAATATATTCATATATTACAAGTCACAATTTGTACTATTTGCATAGAATCTTCACGAAGTAGCTGAAAATATTAAAGTCACAAAGGAATCGTTACGCATAGAAACGCTTAAAACCGGTTTACAAAATATACACTGCCAGTTAATGGAAGATGATGGCACATGTTTGCCGTTGTCTCCCAGTAAATTAGCATTCGGCATTAATGTACCGACATGTGCCTATTTCCCGTCATTCACTCTGCCATTGAAAATTAACTTCATCGGTTGTGATAATGTAATAAGTCCGGCAATTTTCAAGGTATGTTTTTTACTTTGTTCTATGCCGTAATCAGAGATTGACACGTATATTATATATATCGTTCTTTTTTCTTACAGGTTGGTGATGATTTACAGCAGGATATGTTGACTCTCCAAATGGTTCGTATTATGGATAAGTTATGGTTAAAGGAGGGCCTTGATTTGAAAATGGTTACTTTTACCTGTGTACCAACTGGTCACAAGCGTGGAATGATAGAAATGGTCACAAATGCGGAAACATTGCGAAAAATTCAAGTTGAATTTGGTCTGACCGGGTCATTTAAGGACCGACCGATCGCAGAATGGTTGGCGAAGCACAATCCCTCGGAATTAGAGTATGAGAGAGCAGTGGACAATTTTACAGCGTCTTGCGCCGGTTATAGTGTCGCCACTTATATTTTGGGGATTTGTGATAGACATAATGACAATATCATGTTGAAAACGTCTGGACATTTGTTTCATATTGACTTTGGAAAGTTCCTAGGCGACGCACAAATGTTTGGAAACTTCAAAAGGTGAGTATAATTTCGCGTATTTATTTTAACTAGAGCGATATAAGTTGTATATATATAATATTATGTATTTTTTTATATTTTTAATCACAGAGACAGAACACCGTTTGTGTTAACGTCAGATATGGCATATGTTATAAATGGAGGGGACAAGCCCTCCGCGAAATTTCACCATTTTGTAGATTTGTGCTGCCAAGCTTTCAATGTAGTTCGAAAACATGGAAATCTTATTCTTCATCTGTTTGGATTGGTATGTTATAATTCTTCAAATTTTATAATAACACTTATAGTGAATCATTCTTTACTACTATTTTCCAATTTTTTTCATAAAATCCGATTTTATGTAAAGTATTACAATATACAAAATACAAGTATAATAAAATATTATAATATACAAGATACAATAATAATATACAAAGATGATAATATAATACCTAAAACCCAAAAATCTGCTAATCTAAAAGCCTAATAAAAGGTAATAAATATCATTAAAATAACTCTAAATATAAAATAATCCCAAAAATATAAAATATAAGTAAGCCCAAAATAGAACACTTTTAAATTCAAAACTGCGCCGATGTTTAAATCTGCATGTGTAAATAAAATTCATTGAAAATTATATTTTCAAATTAGAAACACGTAAATTATATAATTGAAGTTTATAAACGTAAAATGAATAAAATGGATAAATTATTATTAAAAGATCAAAATTTTTAGCACAATCGGATAAATATTATGGAATAATTATTTTACATCTCTTATCAATCTCTTGTGCATACATTATGTTTTATATTAGTAGAATAAAAAATTCATGAGTTATGTGGTGTACTTATTCGTTATGAAAACAACAAAACCACAACGGAAGAGCTTTATCAGAAAGAGGACCGCTATCGCCCTAAACTATATACGATGTAGTTAATTAGTGTTTATCGTCTGTGCTCTTATAATATCGTATACTGTAGCAGTCTGAATCAAGTGTTTTAAGAGTGAAGAGTACGAGTGAAGAGTACGAATTAACGTGGAAAACGAATTAACGTTAAGAAATCGTTGTGAGATCAAAACACCATCAAGAGTTCGCGGCATGCGTTAAAAATCCATTAGATAGGGATCCATTTTCACCGTTGCTGTAATATCCCAAGATACGTCACGATGGATGAGTTAATATCCCAGAAGAACCTCCTCAGTGATTTACATAAACAAGATCTCATAGCACGAAAACTTCACGATATCGAGATAAAAGATCACTTGAATCAAGCGAGAATGAACGAATATACCACTTCGCAGATGACCTCATCTGGTATTCCTGGAGTAACTATGGACGCAGTCAGCTACGTGCAGAAAGCTCTGCTTCCCGGGCAAACAAATCCCGAAGCAGCGGCAACTTTTGCTCGAATGATAGAGAGCTCACTGAAGAGCTGGTTCACGCAGTTTAACTTCTTCTTGCATAATCTAGCGCAGCTCAGATTCTCCGGAGATCATAGTGACGGAGAACTTTTGTCCTTCATTCCACGCACATACACGTAAGTTTTGCTGTTTCAATTAATTAAAATCAAATCAACGAGAAGAGGCAACAGTTCAAACTCTCAGAATTTTACTTTGTAAGCCCTTTTATTTTCTTTAAATATATTGTAGCATTTTTCAAGTAGATGATTTTTTCTAATCATGCATATATAAAAATATAATCTTACGCGTATAATTTTAAACAATTAATAAGTATTAACAAGTAACAATTATAAACTGTTATAGAATGCAACAAGAAGGTCAATTAACAAGCGTTCAAGTTCACGGCTATCAAAAACGTTATGACCCCGAGAAATATTATATGTACATTTTGCGGATACAACGGAAAGGCCAAGCGGATCCAACATATCTGTTCCGATCGTACAAAGAGTTTTGTGAATTTTATCAGAAATTGTGCATACATTTTCCACTTGCCAAGGTGGCCAGGTAAGAATCACTTACATTAAGAGAAAATATATTTAAAAAACAGTCAATATATTTATTTTTGTGGGTACTAATAACATATATTAAATCTAAATTCTTTTAAGTAGAATAAACAATTGCTTTCATGAAAAGCTAAGATTTTTTTGAGGTTTCGAGAAACCATATATTTTCTTATTTGAAACATTTTTTTATATTATCATACGTAAATATGTTACATATATATAGTACTCGCTGAATAAATATTTACTATTTCTTAAATATTTTTTTTCTCAATGTATATGTACCAATTATATACCCTTTTTACATACAATGCTTACATGTAAATTATAATACATCTATTCTTTCTAAGACAAAGTATAAGTTATTAACAATTTTTCCTTTATAAATTAAAAAAAAATATATATATATATGTATATCTATCACGAACAAAAAGTAGAAGAATACGACTTAATATATGAATATATATGTTTTCCTGAAAATATCTTACATGCAACATTTGTCACTTTTCAAATCACTAATTCAGTTTCTTCACAGATACGATTTTTTGTATTTGAAACATGATTTTGATCTTCGTTTATTTTATTTATTTTTTCTCTGTATATCGACGATTGTTCTGCAACATTTAAATCTTTCATAGATGCAGTAGACTCTTCGTTTTGAATTACATAGTTATCACGTTTCGAATCAGTGTTTAATGACGGTGATTGATTTGCACTTTTTTTTGTATGATCATATCGTTGTTCTCTGTCATTGGCACTTGTGGAATCATTTGCAATCGAAGAAGACACAGCTGAGAACGTATATTCATTTCTCCGCGTTGGCAATGTATTAGATTCAGAATACGAAACTTTCCTGTACATGCCTGTCATTGTTGGAAATTTATATGTCCCTTTTTTATTTAACGAAAAACGTGCTCGAAACCATTTTAGACCCATTTCCAAGATCGGTATTAAACCTTAAAAAATTAATTAGTCTCTGTATACTTAGATTGTCTCTTAAATAAATTCTTGAATTATCTGTACATAATATATGCGGTCTTTCATATTTTTAATAATAGTATTAATTCGTAATCAATAAATCAAAAATATATTAACACTAGTCTTTGATATTACTTACTTTTACGAAAAAGAAGTTTTAACGAATTAATGAAATATGGCCTGATAGAGATCCGTTGAGAATGTTTCTCTATTCACTGAATGTGTAATCTATACTTAAAATTAAGATATTAATTACTTTAATTAAAATTAAGATTTTAATTATTTAATTAGCTAATTAAAATCAAGGTAAGAAATATTTGTTCTTATTAATTTGTCTGCCAATAATTAATTTTTCACGTAAGGTACATTAAGGTACCACACAATAACATAGTACTATTTCTACTTTATATATAATTAATATTGATAAACAGTTATTTACTTACCATGTGGAAGTATTAAAGGTGCTGTCATCGATCGCTTTAAAAGATATCGAGTGATTAATTCACAAGGAATCTCTGCCTTTTTCTCTTTTCTCTATTCAATATGATAAAATATTATTACGTTTATATATATAAACGAATATTATTTCGATAATTACACATTATTACGAACAAAAACTCTGCAATATATTTGGAAGTAATATAACAGAAAAGAACGTGTCGTGTCGCAAAGTGCGCGAAGTATCTTAAACATAAAGACTTGTCGCGCACAAAGTCGCACCTTTTGATACGCGTTATCTCCAGATTGTCTGATTAGTCAGACATATCTCACATGTTTAGCAGTCTCTTAGTCACGCTGTGATTAATTAATTATAGCGCTCGGTACTCGTTAAATGCAAATATTGTAATGAGTCATTTAATTATGATAACTGATTCTGATTAAAGTATACCACGTAAATTTATATTTATTGCAATATACAGAGACTTCACAATGCTATCGTTGCTTTATACGATCGTCTCGACTGTGACACGTTAAGCGGAAAGATCTCGTCACATACGTTGACGCTTCGAGTGTTAGACGCTATCATGGGTGTTTACAAATACGAGATATGCCATTCATCGCCATTTTAATGACAGACTATACTATTCATTTATTTCGCAGCTTACCGAGCGGAATAAGCGTCGGGCGTTCCAACATTAAGCAAGTAGCCGATAAACGGCGGGCGGATATAGAAAAGTTTCTTGTCAGTCTATTTAAAATGGCACCAGAAATATCTCAAAGCGATCTGGTGTACACTTTCTTTCACCCGCTACTACGAGATCAACAGAACGCCGATATTCGCTTACGTAAAGTCAAAGGTAAAACTTGATGATACATCTTAAAACCTTCAAAGACTATACTATGTATACATATATTTGGAATGTCTTATGATTTGTCTCTTAATCTATGAAACAATGTTATTTTCAGTTGGAAACTGGTGGGCCGAGAAGAGAGTGAGAGACAATATACAAAACGGCCAGATCAAATTGTCGCTTCACTACGCTCGCGGCACTTTGTCCGTCATGGTTTGCCACGCTCGAGGACTTCCTAAAGTAGCTAACGCTCAAGAACCGAACACATACGTGAAGGTATACCTTAAACCTGATCCCCCGAAAGCGACAAAACGGAAAACAAAAGTGGTAAAGAAAAATTGTCATCCGTCATTTATGGAAATGGTAAATAAATGATGTCAATTTTAATATGCTCTGTTGCGCTGTTTAAAAATAGATAAATATATTTAGTCAGAAAGTACATTGTAATTAATAATTGGTCTTTTTATATCGCACTAGTTGGAGTACAGGATGCCTCTAGAAGTGATAAAGGAAAGAACGCTGGAAGCAACGATATGGAATCATGATACCTTGCAGGAAAATGAGTTTCTTGGTGGTATAAGTTTACCACTCGGACACCTCGACTTGACAAATGAGACTATTGAATGGTTCTCGTTAGGTAGCGTACGATGAAGCGAGTATAAAGACTGCCTTGAAATCAAGTCTCTTAATGCTCATAGTGATTAAAAATATCACATCGGGAAGTATAACATTATCGCACAATATTAAAGCTTCTTCATTATGCACAAGCAAGTGCAATGATCACTGCGCTTATTTACGATATAAAAATAGTCTTTATTTATACAACTTCGCGTCCGGCGAAGTCTTGCTTCTTTAATATAGTCATTTCGCAGTTTATGAAATGAGACGATATAGGTGTTAAGAATTATGTGATATCCAAGAAATAGCTATATAGCGGAGGAAGAATCAACTTTTAGAAAAGTTGCTAAGAAACATAAAGTATATACATATAATAATTATTTAAATAAAAATATATCTACACTCGTTTGCACAATTGTGACCATTTGATACGCTCATAATTTCATCGGAAAAGCGTATGCAAATGAGTGCGCATGTACATGGTCTGTCGCAAAAGCAATGAGACTTTCCTTTTCTAACATATTTTGATATCTTATGTGACAACACTGGACATCAAAACCACAATTCTTAAATCTTAGTATCTTGCAAACATATCACTAGATGTGATACAATTCATTCAGTGTGCCTCGCGTAATCGTAAACTAAACAAGAGTGTGTTTCGTGACTACATCGCAAAAGTGGAACACAGAGATATCGAGCGAAAGCACACCATCAAGTTTTGTTTCACGAAAGTATGACGAATACTTGCGAAAACATGAAACTTATTGATCTAAACATTATCTCGAATAAAAACTTCTCAATAGCGTAAGAATTATTTGAGAAAGCCGATCCTAATTAAACTCTTTAAATTTCTCTGTTTTATTTTGGTGATACAATCGATAAATTCTTTTTATGTTGTCAAGATTTTCAGTTTTAAACCGGCCTACGATTTTTCTTCCAACTACGATATACAACACTTAGAAAAGTCAGTCTAATTACTTTGATGACAGATTGCGATATGTTGAAATATGCGGGACAAATAGGTAATAAAGAAACAACGATTACAACGTTGCAGGAATTTAAAATTATAACGTGTGTGTTTATGTATATTTCTCCAATTATATTTTTCGACGTGGAATGTCTGAACATATGAAGAATTCATCATGAATCGAATGAATTTCCACACTGGAAGTTTACTCTTTTAAAGGGATTTTATACACTTATTTATTTATATCACTTTTTACTGACCATATATATCAATCAATTGTAAATAGACCAAATGTATTTTATATGACACGCAGTTGTGGCAATGAAATAATTTGTAATCAAACTCTAAATTCCATTTTGATGACATTTTATAGTCCGAACGAGAATTTGCGATTTCTTATAAATCTAGTTACATGAAAATCGAATTATATATGTATGTACACAACATACAACATTTAGCAAAATCATGTTTTATGATTTTATAGCATTATTTTAATATTAGAGGAAAATATTTACATAATTATCTAATGTAATGGCCTCGTTTATAACAAATGGATGTACTCTGTTAACAAAATTATATGTAAATATGCTATTAAATTTATGTAATAAACTATCTTTTTGTTTTGCCTCTGTACGTATGTTGCTCGACTTGACGAACAATTGAACTTATGAATATCCAGAGTGCTCGCAAAATCTCATTCAGATCCTTTCAAGTTATATATGAGCGGCAAAACAAAACTTGTTTTTTAAATCAAGCGAGCAACATCTGTTTCAAAATCATTCGCTACCATCGTCGTGCATCTTAAAATAGCTACGATCGGTAAGGTAACTTATCGCTCAGCACGTTCCGATAGAATTTATAATATTTTGTTATATATATATATATATATATATATATATATATATATATATATATATATATATATATATATATA